TGAGTCTGGACCAGACAGTCTAGTGATTGACATCATGAGCATCGATCTGCGTAATTTGGATACCAAGTCAACCAAGTCGGCAAACCTGACCACCCAAACCCGTTGCAGTGTGGGTTGCTGAAGACCAATTCTAATTCGGATAAAAACAATTAAGAAGAAACGGAACCATCACACATTATAAATTGATGGTCAGTTACACCACAGACAAGTCAACCCTATATTTTTCACACACTAATTAATGTATTTTATAAGCATTTATTAGAGTATGTGTGATAATGCCTGTTTGGACACTTGTTTGTTTGACCCGATATTTACTTATATGTTTTTCTCCTCAGGAACTTCTATTGGCTGAGACGTGGGCCAAACTGAACCGGTTACCATTCCCTCCAATTGACCCTACAGTGTTTGACAGAGAGGGACTGAAGGAACTGTACATCTTCAAACACCCCACAGACCCTCACTGCCCAGTCGTAATGCACTTCTGCCTCGTTAATATCAACTTCAGGAAATTCTCCAAACCTGGTAGGTGGACTATATTTAAAAAATACGAAGAGTGAGTGAGTGAGTTTAGTTTTACGCCGCTTTTAGCAATATTCCAGCAATATCACGGCGGGGACACAAGATATAAGCTACACAGTAAAGACAGTAAATTATGCAAGTTCGTCTTGGTCATTGCTACCAGTGCTTATTCTGGCCCTGGGCCCCGTTCCTCAAAGCGATCGTAGCGCTACGACAGTCGTAAGTCTATGTTAAAGTGTGGGAGTTACGATCATCTTAGCGCTACGATGGCTTTGAGGAACGGGGCCCTGAACACCTGATATTGTGTCAGATTTACAGAGATCAAAGCGTCAATACTATTTTTGTCTTGTACCGTTACCGTTATTTTTACCTGAGCAGGAAAACATTTTCTATAAATGGTGATATAGTTTGGTATTTTCACGTAAATCTAATTCAGAAAACTTGTGAAACTTGAACTGGAAAGTGACTGTAGTGTTTTGTTTTGCAGGGGTAGAAAGAACCACCAAAGAAGACCTTGAGTTTGCTGATTTCGACCTGTTTGACGATCCAGCTACTCCCTATTCCACTTTCAACTTCTGCTACACTCACCAACAGTTCCAACGCTTGTCGAAATTGACGGAGTTCAATACGCTGCTCCACGTGGATGACATAAAGAATGTCATTGCAGATAAGATTGAAACCAAGAGGTCATGTCCTCCAAGGCTTCCGTTCCAGTCAAAGGACATGAAGCTGTTGAGAATAAAGAGTGTCCAGGAGAGGAGAAGATTGAAGAAGTACCTTACACGCGTAGAAAGTATCCATGAGGCAAACTCCCCAACTGTCGAACCCACTAGTCCTTTCTTCACAGCACCGGAGGGTTTGGAGGATCTTCCAGAGAGTCCTGACCCAATGCACAGCGATGGGGCAAAGAGGAGGAGAGTGAAGTTAACGAGACAGGATACAGTTGGAACTTTAAACAGCATCACCGAATCTATTTCCCTGGATTCGCCTAAAGCACTTTCGGGGAAACAGTTTGACATGTCTCAAAACGGACTTCCCGACGAGGACATCGACAACGACTCCGACGGTTTTGAAGACATCTGGTACGATGCCCAGACATACCACTTCGACCCCAAAATGAACACCGTCACATCTTGTGCATCGTGAAAGGTTATATAGAACACAAGGGCTATAGTTCTTGAGTTTGGTGCTAACCGAATTCACTCACCTCCCATAGTGGGTAGATGCATGTTCGGTCGAGGCAGAAACAGGTGCTTGGAACACCGGGTGTTTAGGTGCCTTACACGACGAACTGTTCGGCATCCGCTTGGCCAACCTCTGATATCTCATGATAGAGGATAGCATCTCAGAATATTTTGTGAATTTGCTTGATAATTTGCCTTAATTTATTACCATGGTGATATCGTGTGTTACGAAAGTACTGTGCTCAACTTATTTATTGCAAGGCTTGGAACAGCCAGACTGTGAAACAGGATATGTGGGACCACTACATGACTTTAATGCTCCCATTCTGTGATGTGCAATAGAGTCACTATCTCGGCATTTTTACTAATTTTTGTATAGCTTTATTTATTGTTTTATTTGTAAGAAAAGAGTAAAACATGTCAATTTGAATAAATTGAAGATACGAATATAATGGTACTTTTCTTTACTTGACGCGAGAATACAATCCAACAGCGAGACCACTGTTACTGGCACCATAAATGGAAGGTTGTTACCTGTGAAGATCGAAGAATTGGTCTTCAGGAACCAGTGCATTTCGTAAAAGGCGACTAACGGGATCCGGCTCGATGACATGGCTGACACGTCATCGTATCCCGAGATCAGTGCTCATGTTAATCACTGGATTTCCTGGTCCATACTCGAGTATTTACAGACCACCCTCATAGGGCATCATTTATTTTATGTGTTCCACGTAGACAACAAATTCTGAACATGGGTCAGTCGGGGGAAAAAACAAACTTAATAAAGACAAATTTAAATGATCTGAATAATGTTCTTGATACACATTTATAGTTATTCTTATTACGAGTGTTTGGACTTGTGGCAGCGACTGATTATAAGATAAACATTTTTTTATGACGAGGCGGTACGTTTTAGGCGGTACGTCGGTGGTGTTGGAATGAAAAAAAGAAATAAAATAGAATAAAAAGAATAAAATTAGAAGGGTCGGTCGGTCGATGAGAAACACAAACAATATAAATGCTGCCCATATATATAGCTGAAACACTGCTGAGTGTGGCATTAAAACAAGGAAACAATTGTTTACAAACAACATCGTACAGCTGTAATACTACTGAAACAAGTATATACTCATGATATAGTCACAATTGTACAATCGACTCTGCTTTTAGCACAGATTTCTTATGGATGTGGAAAGGTTTTGTTACTTGTATACTAGGCACTTAAAGAAACTTTGCATACAAAAATTTAAAATCTAAATTTATCAAACCTGTGTAGACACATAAGGATTTAAACTCAAAGATTAGTGACATGTATCCAACATTCATGCACGTGCCACGTTCCGTGACGTCAGAGGGTTTGTCCTTGAGACGTGCAATACGTTGTTGCACGTGTATTCCGGGAAAGAGAAACATAGCAAATGAATGCCAAGCAATACTGTCACTTTGGAAAGCTCAACCCCTGCCCTTGCAATCGTTCAAAAAATTAAACGGCTATTGAAACGCATAGCATGCCAAGGCTAACGTCTGCACAACGTCATGAGGCCATTGGAATGGTCCGTGGGGGAATGTCTCAACGACAAGTGGCTGCACATTTCCACTGCCACCGGAACACCATTTCTGCACTGGTGAGACGCTACCAGAACACAAATGACGTCATCGATCGGCCACGTTCTGGACGTCCACGTGTAACAACGCCAAGACAGGACAGATGGATAAGGGGGACCCATCTTCGCCACAGGTTTCAGACTGCAGTGATGACTGCCCGAACCATCCCAGGACTTCGCTATGGATTTCTTGCAACACCACAACGTTGACTTACTGCCTTGGCCTGCAAATTCACCGGATCTCTCACCCATAGAGCATGTTACGGACGAAATGGATCGACGTCTACGCCGTCTTCCTCATCCGCCAGATAACGTCCTTGACCTTGCAACAGAACTTGAGAGAATCTGGCGTGACATCCCACAAGCCTTCCTTGCACGTTTGATAGGCACTATGCGTCGTCGATGCACTGCTGTTCTCAATGCCGATGGTGGACATACCCGTTATTGAGCTTGTGACATGGTCGTTTGACCCCTGTCCCGCTTGTGGACTCGTGACGTCATTGTGATTGACTTTTCAATTGAAATTCTCCCGACTTGTTATGGTCTCATGATCCCTCCATTAAAGTTTATATGTACCTTTGACATTGTTATCGTACTTATCAACTGGGATAATATTTTGACAATGCACAGTTTCTTTATGTGGCTAGTATATTTGCTATTGTTTGGCCAACTGGGAAAATGCCAAGTAGATAGGATCGTTGTTCGTTACAGACATAGCCGTAATCATCTCTCGTCTGATACTACTGTATTGACTTAAGCACTGGTTGACTTTAAGTGAGTGAGTGAGTATGGTTTTACGCCGCCTTTAGCAATATTCCATCCGTAGTCGGGAAGAAACACTCACTTCTTTAAAACTTAGTTTAATTTTGATTTTTTTTTTTAACAAAAGGACGAATCTGAAATGAAAAGGAACTGGTTTAATTATATTCCGACTGTTGTGGCCTCTCATCTGTATGCAGTCTTATTAAGTGCAAATAGCTGCGTAAGTGCGTGAGTTTAGTTTTACGCCGCTTTTAGCAATATCACGGCGGGAACACCAGAAATAGGCTTCACACATTGTACCCATGTGGGGAATCGAACCCGTGTCTTCGGTGTGACGAGCGAACGCTTTAACCACTAGGCTACCCCACCGACCCCGGCTGACTTTAAGTCATAAAACTATGTCAAAGTGAGTGAGTGAGTTTGATTTTACGCCGCTTTTAGCAATATTCCAGCAACATCACGACGGGGACACCAGAAATGGGCTTCACACATTGTACCCATGTGGGGAATCGAACCCGTGTCTTCGGTGTGACGAGCGAACGCTTTAACCACTAGGCTACCCCACCGACCCCGGCTGACTTTAAGTCATAAAACTATGTCAAAGTGAGTGAGTGAGTTTGATTTTACGCCGCTTTTAGCAATATTCCAGCAACATCACGACGGGGACACCAGAAATGGGCTTCACACATTGTACCCATGTGGGGAATCGAACCCGGGCCTTCCGCGTGACGAGCCAACGCTTTACCCACTAGGCTACCCCACCGCCCCAGAGCTATGTCAAACCACACTATTCAGCAAAGAGATATATTTGATAGTTCACACCGAGTTTGTCAGTTCTTTGGAACACATTTCACATCAGAAATGGAAGTAGCCGGACATATGTAAGGGATGTAACAAATGTTTTAACATTTCTTTACACTTCCAGTTTATATGAACGAACTGATTTAATTTGGCAATACACAGCTTGAGGGCTTGTGTCTTCTCAATGCTTCCTTGTCTTCATTTCTCGTTTAAATATGTTAACCCTTTGTTGAAATTATCAGCTTCCCGGGTACCCTTGAACAATAACGTGTACAGGCAGTTCTGGTGCCCATGGGGTCAAAATGGCCGCACGTGTTAGGACATCAGATTGGCGTTTAGGGCCATGAATAAGATTAGTCTGATGAACGTTACCTCATATCCTGTCAGCAAATATGTTGGGCATTACCTTTCCATTTAAGCGTTAGGTTAATATTCTTTTCATCAGTGACAGAACACAATCTTGTGAATCTTCTAACGTTAAGTGGGGAGGTGAAATAGCCTAGCGGTTAAAGCGTTGGCTCGTCACACCGGTCCGGGTTCGATTCCCCATATGGGAAACAATGTTTGAAGCCCATTTCTGATGTCCCTAATCGTGAAATTTCTGAAGTATTGCTAAAAGTGTCTTGAAGGCATTCCGCTCACTCATTAAAGCATTCCACTCATTCTGTCAGTAGTGAGTTGCTACCAGACTGCATTTACAGTTGTTAACAGAAACCCTAATGTGATTCTTAAGGGCACATTCTTTTTTTTCTAACACGTCATAAAAAACAGAAACGAGAGGGAATGAAAACAAACCCCGTTTTGATCTATGTCCCATGCATCGCCACCTAAAGAAAAAACAACAATACTTTTTAAAATTATATTTAGAAGTGATACAGATAGAGTAAGAATATACTCCGAAACGTCCTATTCCCCGTATTACAGAAGTTGACATCCATAAATTTCCTCTTTAATAAATTATATATTTCATCCAAATGTACCCATGAAGATCCGGGTTACAACTGGCCTTCCGTAACCCATGTTTGTCGTAGGTAACTAACGGGATCGGGTGGTCAGGCTCGCTGACTTGGTTGACACATGTCATCGTATCCCAATTACGTAAATCGATGCTCATGCTGTTCATCACTAGATTGTCTGGTCCAGACTTGATTATTTACAGACCGCCGCCATATAGCTGGAATATTGTTGAGTGCGGCGTTAAACAACAAACCAACCAACCAACCAATCATCCAAGTGTATTCAAGGTCAGTCTAACAAAGAGCATCCAGTGCGTGTTCAAAGATTGATAGTCCCCCTTTAACGTCCGGACTCGACGCACAGTAGACTCGCGGAATAACGTACTTATATGATGTATGGCCGTCCGTTTGTGTTGACCTCGACTGGAAGGGCGTTAATCCATCATTCAAACAAAGGAATCCCGCTTTTTGTTCTCCTGACATCGTCCGGGATTATTTGTCATTCTCTTAACTGGTTAATGCCTGGGCATGACTTTTGTTCGGTCGAGTTAATTATGAAGCTAAGCCCTGATTCTATGACGTTCACTGCGCCACCTGCTGATCACGTGCAGACTTCAAAGTGCGTCACGGAAGCCAGACTGAGAGATGTATACTCATTGGTCGAGCAGATTTGAAGCTGCACTGTGGTTGGTTTATATTCATTCAATCAAAACTAGTTTAATTCAGTTCGCTTAACGTGTAATTGTTAAAACCACAAATATTTGATTTTTACTAGTGGTGTACTGCACTGACTATTGATGAGGCAGTTTTGAGGGGAATTGTCTCCCTTGTTTACACGTTCGTTAGCTTCTTTGACATTATTTGTTGTTTCCGTTACAGTAACGTGTTATTGTTACCATCTAACATATGATGCCATGTATTTTTCTCAAACTTGATGTATGACGTGGGTTAACAATCTGTGAGAGGATCTCATCTGAGGGAGTGTGTAAGTCGATATAAGCTCCAGGACATCAAGTTGAGGCCCTGATTCAGTTGTTATTCAGTGGTCGACCGACATGACATACCTGTCTTTGTGCGATGGATGCTCGCCATTAATTGTACCATCAACTATCTCCTATTTTTATTTATAAACCGTTGCCATAGACCCTGTTTTAACCAGGTGTCCTATACCAAGTCATGTCCGTTACAACCAGGTGTCCTATACCAAGTCATGTCCGTTACAACCAGGTGTCCTATACCAAGCCATGTCCGTTTTAACCAGGTTTCCTATACCAAGCCATGTCCGATGTAACCAGGTGCCCTTTACCAAGCCATGTCCGATGTAACCAG